CACACACACACAAATATAAAATGGTGGAGTTCATTAAAAAGTGTCGGACGGATTTCACGTCAAACCGCACGGAATTGTGACAGAAATTTAGTTTTTGCGGCACTAAAGAACAAAAAATGCTCTTTCATTTTATGAATATATTAAATGTTTTTACAAACATTTTTGACCCATTTTATTTTAATTTTTTAATTTTGAAAACCAGTTTCTCCAGTACACAGCTTTTTTTTGGCGGCAACCAGTCAATTTTCAACTTCTCAGGAATGTTGGTTGTAACAACCTAATCATACACTTTTGCAATTATAGATTTTCATAATAAGAAAATAGAAATAACCATAGTATTATTATTCTACGACTATCTGTGTTTACCAACCTCACAGAACAACGCACATGTTTCACGGATTCCTCCGTCTTGATAGTCGAATTTCTTCAGAAGACTCGTTTGACAGCGTATGTGTGTTTCTGCAATTTATAACCTGGCAAGTCTCACGGGTGTTTTATGTTGAATGTCACAATGCGTCGTATAACTGACGTCCCATAGTTGGAGCAGCGAGTCTGTCAGGAAGCGGTGTCTACGTGTTCCAGTGAACAAACTATTTTAAAAGAATGTTATTTGTGTGTGTGGCCCACTTTGAAATTTGGCAGATCTATACAACATTAGTGTAGAAATACACGAGTATTTTTTACAATTAATTGAAGTGTCGACTTATTGTAAACATTTGCATTTTAAAAATTAAAATATATTTAAAATATTTCAATAATATGTTTACAAAAAATATTTTTACATCATATGAAAACATCTTTTTAAGGTAAATTTAAGTGCTATTTTATTTTTCCGAAGGAAACTGTATTTGGGCAAAAAACTTAAACATTAGCGCGAACATGATTTTTCTGAAAATGTAATTGGTAATATTTCTGAATGGGGTAGGATTAGAAAAAATGTGTCACCTCTTTTATCCACCTTTCTCCCGATCAGACATTTCGGGATGTTGTTGAAGGTTTTATTTTGACGGACATACTGCTTTTTTTCTTTTACATGCAACAAGAGTGACATGGCTACTGTGGATTTACCGCCCTTCGCAAATCCGCGCACCTCGGCTGGAATCGAACCCGCGCAATGGGGGCTAAGTAAGCAAACACACGCGCACACACAACAAAGTCGGGTTTGTTACAGCAATCATAGCTCAAGAACGGCTGGGCCAATTTTAATTACAGAGTGCAACATAAATGAACTTTGAAGCTTGCCACGAGATGAAAGTACGTGTTCTATACTAATCACATACTCGTACGCTGATTGCAAAAATAAGAAATGAGAAATATTCCATCATGTACAAATTGTTCTGGAAAAGGTACACCACATATACCACTTTCGAGAAGCTTGCAACCATACAGGAGGAATCTATTGTGAATTAATCTACAGATCATGTAACAAAAATGATTTGTATTGCAAAAAATGTTTATATCACTATTTGTATAATTAACTGTTTTTATTACAAAACATAAAATGAAAACAGTACGAGAAAACCTTGAAATGTACTTAAAAGTTAGAAACTTTTCCTGGAAACTTTCCGTTTGTGGGTGGATTGTGATACTACTTGTAGAATTGTCTAGCAAGTAATCCGCCCAAATGTTTGATGACCTTCTTCCCTTATATCATCTTTCCATTATCGCGGTATCTTGGTGAAATCGCTTACCATGTTCGTCACTCACATCTCCAAGATTAGGTGGGGAAAAAATTCAAATGGGAATGAAGGAAATGTAAATTCAGAGGCATATTGCACCCCATAGGGCCGGTTTCACCAAACAAAGAGTAAGAGTTTACTCTGGAGTAAATCATGTTTACTCGAGAGTAACTTATTGGAGCGTTTCATCAACACTTTACTCTAGTGTAAATCGCTTACACGAGAGTAAATTCGAGAGTAACTTTACACCGCGAAAATCCGTCGGGTAAAGTACGGAGTAAATTCAGTTTTCAACGTGCATGTCCCTCCGAAGTGTTGTTACGGTTCGACGAATTACGAATGATAGTATTTGTAGACGATTCCAGCAATGATTCGGAATATTATCCACTAGTGCGTAGACAAAGGGTGCGAGAGAGAATGGATTGGTTTTAATTATGACGATCGAGATTTTGTCATGAGGTTATGTTTGACCAAATCTGCTGTTTAACTTCATCAGATACATTGTAAACTGTAGAGAACTTCTAAAGTTCGACAACAAAAGGAAAAATACTAACTACAGGAACTACAAGTACTAAGAAATATTCATTTTTTTATTCAGTAAAAACTGTATGTGAAGTATGGGGGAGATCATTTGCCCACGTTTTCTTGAGTTCCAGAATCCCTTTCCAACATTGTTAACTACAAATAGTTGAAAGGTGAATATAAGTTAAAAAAATAAAACAACAAATAAAAATAAAATTTAGAAAAACACGAGATCAACATTTGAGAAACTAAACATTTTCGTTCCCTAGTTATAGAAAATTAATTTGCACCGCCATCAGTAAGTAAACGAACTGCAATTTGATTTTTTCTGCAAGTTGCTAACAAATAGTAATCGTTCTCCAGAGAAAGAAGAATGATTTTATTAAGAAATAAAAGATACAGAAACTAAGAATAAACTATGCTGAACTCAAACACGCATAACACCATACCGCAATTTAATACGCTCAAGAACTCCGAAACTGTAATGAAATACAACGATATAGGAATATAACTCAAGGTTCGCGTTGTCGCATGTGGTTCCCAGCGTCATTCTCGCTCACAGCCTTGAATTCACTCTCAATATGTGTGTTCAGCTGATTTCGGAGATAAATAGGAGAGTAGTACTTCTAGAGTAAAATAACCCTCAGAAGCCAGTGGAACGCTCATATTCTACTCGAATTATTATCTTGAGT